GAGCTGGAAATGCAGAGGGCTAGACTTGGCCCATGCTACCGAACAGACCTATCGCAGCACAGAACCTAATGCTCACTGTCAATGAGTGGGAGGAGTTTTAATTTATAGACAGCGTGGGCAAAAGGAGCAGCTGTAGTAAGGGGGAAAAAAGAGAGACACACACACAAGTAATTGGCACTGGAGGGAGGGTGAGGGAACAGGCCAGCTTTAGGATTCACAAACAAGACCCAGGATAACGGAAGCGGCCCATCAGCACAAGGCTTAATTTTATTCCCATTATTTCTTTGCTCCATCCTCCCAGCCAACCAAGCAGTCACTCACAGAGGTTACGTCTGTGCTGGAGCGAAAGGTGTAAATTTCCAGCTTGGGCAGAGATACCCGTGCTCGTGCTAGACAGAACTACCGTGCTAAAAATACCAGCGTAGCCATGGCTGCACGGGCTAACGATCCTGACGCTAATCCCGTCTGACACCCTAGGGATGTACGCAGGGCAACTAGCCCTTCCCGCCGCTCATGCGGCCACAGTTACGCTGCTCTTTTTAGTGCGCTAGCTGGATCAGAGTGAGTGCTGGCATATCTCCTCAAGCTGGAAATGATACCTGCCAGTGCCGATGGACCCATAGCGTGTGGCACCAGAGAGGGGAAAAAAAGGGAGGTAACAGGTAGTTCTGTGTACAGGAAAAAAGAGGAGACCCATAAAAGTCCGAAATGCTGTACTATAGCTAAGACGACGCTACGTGAGCTCTGCCAACGGGACAGCAAAGGGTACAGTGAGAAGTACTCTGCCCCCCAGCTAGCAATTCCCTGCAGTCCAAAGGCACCCGTACAGCACAGGAGAGTTCACATTTTGTACTTCACCTTATGGAACCTGTGAGCTAAAGAGAGGAGAAGCGCCCATTAGCACAGCTCCTCAGAGGGGCTTAGACACCCAACTCCTATTATTTGCAATGGGAGTTAGGCTCCTAGACACCTTTGAGGCTCTGTGCCACTGTGACCTACCTGGGCATGAAATCCAGCATGATGGGGGTGACTCACACCTTTCTGCTCTCATGTGGGTTGCTCATTGCCTAGCCAGTGGCATGCAAATCACTACACATCTGGGAATGGGGCAGCATTAGCAATAATTACTGCTCCACACCTGGAGCTGGGTCTCTGCTCTGGAGGGAGGGCTTGGGCGAGTTTGCCAGCTAAATGCACTGGAACTTCCTCTTCTTCGACCTTGGGAAAGCAAAAGTGTTGCTGGTGCATTAGGGGTCATGGCAAGGAGGATGCTCCTGACACATCCCCACTGACTGAGCTGGCTCCTGCAGAGGTTGGTAAAGAGGATTCTTTTCACCTCGTTGTGCAATTTATGCAGGGCTCTGCACTTACTGACACCACAGTGACCTTGGAGCTGCAGAACAGGCCCTGCCGACCACAAGCTTGGATTACTGCTATCTCCTCTCAACCAGGCTTCACTGCACTGGTGGATTGTTCAAGAGGCAGCAGTATGCTTGCTCATTGGCCTGAGGTCCTCTTTCATATCACTCCCACCCTGTGCTCTACTACACTGGCTACCTCTGAAGTGATGAGGGGGATTTTAAAGGTGGCTTTGCTGGTTTTTAAAGCCCTGGGTACAGTCAAAGCCTTCTCCTTGAGCCTTTCTTCTGCATACAACAGTAGCACCTTGAGGGCCCAACTAAAATCAAGGCCCCCTTGTGCTAGGCACTGTACAAACACAGCCCCATGGATCTCAGAGCAGTTCAGATTACTAAGATCATATATTTGCCAGAGACTAGTCCTTTGTGACAAAAGCCTGTGGCTGCTATGTTGTTTCCACAACTAGATGCAGCCTTTGTACCTGGCCAGCATGGAACTGAGCCAGGCTCTTCCATAGGTGCTAACAAATTTCATCCCCATTGCACAGAGGGCAAAACTGAACCACAGTTGTTGCCAAAAAACACAGCACGCCACTAGCAGAGTAGGGAAGAGAAGCCAGGGGTCCCCTGCTTTAACTCCCAGAGCGTGACCTTGAAGGAGTCAGTGCTATGGTGGCACCTACCAGCGTTAACACAGCTTGAGTTGCTGCACGTGTCTACATGTGCCTTGCATCCAAGGGCAGGAGCAGGCTGCCTGAGTCCTATGCAGCAAAGAATGCACAGGATGGCTACGTGATGGGAAACAAGCCAGGCAGCCCTGCCTTCCTAGCTGCCAGAATGAACAGGAGCTTTCACCCTCTCGACACCCGCTCACCAGCTCTTTGTCCTGCCAGAGAAAGAGTTTCATTCATTCATTCCCTACCCTGCTTTTCGTGAGCTTTGTCCCGGCACTGGGAGAGCAACGCTTGCTCTGCAGCAAGGCTATAATTAGAACATCATGCTCACTTGCTCTCATGTGCTCTGTCTTCTTGGATAACACCCAGGGGACCCCGATTCATTCCAGCGATAAATCCTCCACCCCCCACTCCTCCTTTTCTGAATGAAGAATCCCCCCCCCCCCCCGGGTTTTTTTAATAGGCGCGAGAATGAGTGGAGCTCTGGTTATTCATTCACTTTTTAAATATTAAGCAGCATGGGGTGGATGATTTCATCTGAGAGAGGGTAACTGGATACTTTCAACAACCTTTCTGCCCTCTCCACCCACATCCTCCCATCCCCGCTCCCTCCTCAGCAAAGCTATTCCGTTACACAACAGCTCTGCTGGCTGCTCCTACTGTGGGACTGGCTCCAAGTAAGAGTCAGAAAACGTCCCCTAAAAACACCGGGAGCTAGAAGGTACAAGAGGAAAAAGAGCCAGAAGAGCAAGCAAACCCCTAACCCCTGCAGCTGCCCTGATGTCCAGAAGCCTTGCGCTTCTTCTTGGGGGAGCTTGGATGGAGCTGTTTTGTGTTGATGGACAACACTGCCCTCTACTGGGGGGAACACATGGAACAGACACCAATGTTTAATCAATGAGTTTCCTTTACTGACTGAGCTTGGGGAGCTGTTCCTTGAGCTCAATAGACAACAGCCAGGCAGACTAACCCTCACATAGTCTAGAGAAAGACTGTATCATCCCTGTCTGCGTGTGCCCAGGAAACATGACAGGCTGCCATGCTGCCCTTCCACAGGGAACAATATCACCAGCCTATGGGCTGGATGTGCTGTGCACCCCCCAACCCCAAAGTCAGCCTTAAACCCAGCTCTCCCTTGCGGTCGCACAACATGCCACCAGCCAAGCCAAGCGAGCACAGCCTTTGGCCCATATCTGTTCCCAAGTGACAGCATCCTGGGGAAACGCAAGCTCAGGGGGCAGCACAGCTTAACACAGAGGGAACAAGTGAAGAAGGGCACAACTGAGCAGCGCTGGCAAATCCCTCAAGAGGGTGCACTGCCCTGAAGCCCATTTACAAGAGATACTGGAGACTTCTGGCACGCTCACAAATGGCCCAAGAAACACAGCTGCAAATACGGCGAGGTTCTCTGCGGGAGCAGAACGGTGCTCGCTACGCCCAGGCCTAGACATGCTCACTCCCAGCAGGATTCTAGCATTTTTTTCCCCTGAGCAATGTGGACAAGGGCTCTGCTGTGCTAGAACCAGGACATAAACCTGTGGCCTGGACAGAACACTGACCAGGGAAGTGTGTAGCATGGTTTACTTAGGACGGAGTTTGGAAAAAAAAAAAAAAAACTCTCTACAATTATGATGTATTGTATTCTATTTTGAGTGCAAAGGTCTCTCTGGAGAAATCATGCTAAAAGCATAGCAGTAACAGTCATGGATGAACAATGCTGGGCCTAGTATTGTTCAGATCCCACTCTGGATGGGGCCTCTTGTCTATGTGGAACAAAATACAGGCACGAAACATACCCAAGGAGTTTTGTTCCAAGTTAATTTGGTCCTTTGGAGACACCCACAGCTCCCTCCTCTCGCTCACACCCACCCTCCCTGGCCAACTGTATCTCAACAAGACCTTTAGATAGTCCCCTCTTTAGGGCCACATTACCAACGCCTGGGTACTATGCACAGGCCATGATCCCCGTAGTAGGTTTGACATGGGCCAGCACTGTAAGGTATCAGGGAACATACACATCATTAACACTCAGCACTTTAGGACACGGAAGACTGTGTCCTTATTCACCCTCCATTCCCGAGCCAAGAGTGGAGGCGGCCCCCTTGAACATCTGACAGCCCTGCGCTGCTAATTGTGGGCTGTGTCAGCCAGACCCGGGGCAGCAGATCCACACCATGGCACACGGGTCCCTCTTCACGATACGCGCAGCACTGGATGTGGCTGGGTTCCATGGGGAATTTCTTCCCTCTCTCAGGCTGCTGAGCTCCCAGCATTGAACCCAAGCGCTCTCTTTAAGAGCGGGAGTGCTGAGCACTCGTTGCAGATCCCCTGGCCCAAGAGAAAGGGTGTTAATCCCAGTGCCCAGGCCACAATCCAGCTCAGGTAAATACATCCTGCCTAACACAAACTTCCTCTACATTTTCAACTGTGGTGATGTTAGTCTTCATTCCCGGGGCTAGAATTCTTCACTTCCTGTCTTAGAAGCACTGTGGTATTTTTCAGTGTGGTATTAAACAGCTGCTGGGTTCCACCCCAGAAGTGGCTGCCTTCCAGTGGAAGGTGAAAAGGTGGCCTCTCATAGGTAGACTGGGATGAGAGAGACTACAAATGTCTCAGTCCCCCATTATAGCACCTGCCTACAGGTTGAGGCACCCAAGGCCGGCTTAGACAGGGGTACGGATGAGCAGGCCTGGCGATGCGCCAGATAGGTGCTGCAGCCAGTCTGCATTCTTGGTGCCATGACACCCTCTAAGGATGTCCCATCTCTGGGAGATGGCACAGTTCATCCAGGAGTGTCACCTGAAGGCACGGAGGCACTCCCATGGGCACCTAAAGTGCTGGTGACCCAGTGTCTGGCCTGGAGATAGAAACACTAGTCACAACCACGCGTACCCAAGAGAGACATCCTCCCCGCCCCCTTTCAGGGGCAGAGCTCCCACTTCTCCATGGCATCCCAGCCAGATCCTACCTGTGAGGATGGAGACGTTGTGGAAGCAGCTGTCCAGCTTGCCCAGGAGGATGGAGAGGAAACTGTCGGCAGCCAAGCCACTCACGTCCCGTGTGCTCTGGTCATAGACCACCACGTCCTGGTGCTCTTCCGCCTCCACCTGGGGGGGGGGGGAGAACCACCACAACAGAGCATTACAGCATGTAGGGGGCAGATAGCAGGGGGGCCAGGGATTGGATATAGGGAGTTCTGCTGCTCTCCACTTAGGCTCTGTGTTGCCAAGGCTTTCCGACTTCAGTGCTGGAGAAGAGTCCCCAGACTGAGGTAGGATGGAGCGAATCCTCCTGCTGCCACACCCCAGGAGACAACGGTCCCTCCAGATCAGGGATGGAGCAAGAAACAAGCAGGGGAGCTAGAAAGGGAGGGAGAAGGGGAGCTGGTGGCCATAGTAAGGTTATGGAGCAGATTAATTTTGCTCCTCTAAACTGAAGGAGCATGGAGACGTGGCTCCCCCACTCACGCCTGAGGAGGATGGCTCTGCCAGAACAGGTCTGGGGTCTACTGGCAGAAACCAACAGCTGAATGGACATGGAAACTGAACTCCCCAGGAGAAGATGGTTCCAGTATGTCAGGTCTCAGGACCTACTGAGGCAGTTAGATGGAGAAGGCCTGTGCTGAATGGACATGGAGAGGGAAGCCCCCTGGCCCCCATTATAACCCAGATGAGAGATGGGAACCACCGTCTAGGTGAAGCCGAGGAATCAGACGACAATGACATTTACCTCAGCCCTGTCCCTGCCACCTCAGCCCGTGCAGGACTCTGTCCTATCCAAGTGAGGAGGCTTTGCTCACCACTCCCCAGGCTAGCAGCTCTTACAGACAGGAAGGGCGGGGTGTTCTAAGGTGCTCAGCATAGGCCTTACTTTGCACCCAGCTCTGTCACTGAGTATTTTGCCATGGACTCCAGTGGGAGCAGTCAGGCTAATTGTGAGTACTTCTGAAAATCCCGCCCTCAAGCGCCCCTTCTCCCATACCCTGCCTAAATTTTCCATTGCTTAACTTCATCCCCATCCTCCCAGTTACACCCACACACAAACCATTCCTCCCCTGCAGATCCACACGACAAACACTCACTTCCCCGCTTAGCCAGCTTTGAACTGTTCAGCTCTTTCAATAATTCCTCACAAGCAAACCCTCCGGTCCCCATTTCCCTTGTACTGCTCTTCTCCAATCTGCCTCTTTCTTTCTGGTATCAAGGTAGCTGGGACTGAATCCTGCATGGCAGGGATGTTCTCAGGGCCAGCCAGAGAGAGGGAGGCATGGGCTGTAACTGCCACCTTATAATCTCTCTGCACAGCCAACCTCAAGTGTCACATCAGTTTGTTTTGATAGCACATCAGCTCATACGTGAAACAACGTGGTCCAGTGGATTGGGCACTGGACTGGGACTCAGGAGCCCTAGGTTTTATTCCTGGCTCTGCTACTGACCAACTGTGTGACCGCAGGTAAATCACTTAATCTCTGCCACCTTGGGCAAGTTATTCCCCCCCCCCCATCCTGTGTGTCTTGCCCAGGTAGACATTAAGCTCACTGGGGCAGGGTCTCTCTCACTCTGTGCATGTACAGCACCTAGCACAATGGGATTCCCGGCCAGGTGTTACCACAATGCAAATCAATTACAATTTGCCATCTGCTCTTTCCGAGTCTCCTCTGTTGGGAGAGCGTTACCAAGTCAATGCCTCCTGCAGACCAAGCTTAGCCCTAGCACTAGAAGTTGTGGGAACATCCCCACATCAGCTGTTTGCCATGTGGGCTCTCATTGCCCCCTTTCCCTAGGCATTCCTGACAACAGGGACTGCACACAGCAGAGAGCACTGGGTGGGGTGGGGTGGGGGGGAAGAGAAGGAGGAGATCGGCCTGACCCTCCCATGCACCTTTCTGTGCAGTGAGCAGTGTACAGATCCAGCTGCTGTTCCCAGATCCTCAGGAACCCACCCCAAGACTTGGTAAATTCAGGTGCACCAGTGAGGTGTGCCAGCTTTCAGGGCTTGCGCCTAGGGTATCAGCCGTTCTCAGGAGGGAGGGCTGAGCAAGGAAGAAATCGCTCTCTGATGAGAGGTTACATGGTGCCCAGTTAATGGCAGGATTACAGAGAGAGCAGGAGGCACGGCCAGGGGCTACTGTGTCTAATGAAAAGTTAACGCGTTAAAGGCTGCTAAAATCCTTGCAGTGCCACGGCTCAGTGCACCTCCTGAATAGGCTGATGGGTGGCATACGCCTGCCTTGCGAGCTAGCAGTCTCCCGCTCTTTGGGGCGAGGCACATTTATCATTCTGCGGTAGGTGGAGGCAGCAGCTGTGAAGCAGAGCCAGCATGAACCCTGCCAGCAGGACTTGGGGGGCGGTGGGAGGGAGGCAGGGAATGAACAGCCCTTTCCATTATATCCCAAAGAGCAGTTTAGCGCAGATACTGTGCAGCTAGGCAAGGAGTTTACAGTCTAGGGCTGTCTGTGTAGCGAGTTTGCTGTTCTCTGCGATGCGGGCTTGTATTTGCGTTGGCTATCTCAGTTCCCCAGGTATCGAGAGCTGGGGCTGTCACTCATCTGCTCCAATCCGGTTTTGGGGCAATTGGGGGGAGGTGCCTGCCATTGTGCCACACTCACTAACCCTTCAGAGCTTTGATTCAGCAGCAACCGCCACAGAACAACATACTTGCCAGAAGTCCCTGGCCAGCAGCATCGCCTGACAACCTACTGACTCCCCTGCGTACAAAGATCCGAGATGCCTTTCCCTGGCCCGCCAAGCACGTCCTGCCCCATCTCTATCCTCAGCCAGCGGAGACATCAGTGATCTTGCCCCGGCACTGTCCAACAGCCACCTGGGCTGAGAGCAGAGCCCAATGGGTGGTAGCTCTTGCCATTGTGCTCGCAGTGACTTCTGCAGTCCTGCCCCCACTCCACGTGCCTTTGGTGCCACACGCAGGGCTTAGTGCCAAATGACCATTGCCTTCAGTGTCGCCAGGAATACTCCACCTCAGCACCTCCCCTGCCACCCTGTCTGGTGCCCTCCAACCCATCTCACCCTGAGCTGCTGAGTGAAGCCCAACCCCATCCCCGCATAGCACAGCACTCAGCCCTCCACCCCACACCCAGCTTCTTCAGCTCTGCTCTGCAGCACAGGGGGCTGAGCACTGTTGCTCTCCAGTGTCCTGAACAGCAAAGAGATCCACGGCTGCCTACACTGCCAAGCTCCAGGTCTCTGGAGGCCAGCTTGTGAATTTAGGATGAGTGGCTCCCCCGCCCACCCAGAAGAACTATGAAGACTGACCGGGCCATCCTGGAACATCACAGCACAAAGGCTGGTTTAATGGCCCTCTCACACACCTGAAGGTGCTAGTGTGAGAAAGCACATCCCATCAGCTTGAAATCTGGAAGAGGGAAATAAAGATAGCGGGCATGAAAATTAGTCATCTCTTTCCTGTTCGGTTTGGACTTCCAAGGGCTGGAGCTAAGAAACCAAAAGCGGAGATCCCCAGGGTCACCCCAAAAAAAGACAAGCAGTGCTGACAGATTACTACATCTCTGTCACCTTTTGGAACCACGGACTGAACTCATTTGTGTAAATATGTTGCCTGCTTTAACCTGTAAATAACTCTCTCATTTCCTTTTCCTAGTTAATAAAGCCTTCGTTAGTTTACTTTAGGATTGTCTTTGGTATGAGATCTAAGGCACAAATGGATCTAGGGTAAGTGACTGGTCTCTTGGAACGGGGAGCAACCTGAATATTTTTTGATTTTTGGTGTAAGTGACCATTTATCACTAAGTCCAGCTTGCCTGGGTGGCCAGGTAGACTGGAGAGCCCAAAGGGACTGCCTGTGATTCTATGGTAAGACTGTTGCAGTGATCCAGGAGTTCACATTTGTTACTGGATTGGTGAAATCTAATTATAGAATTTATCACCAGTTTAGGGTGTCTGCCAACCTCAGGGCAGACTGTCAAAAACAAGGCACTCTTTGGTATGAGCCACTCCAGACAACGTGACAACCTGAACCCCAGACACTATGAAGGAGAAAGAGAAACGGACTTAGCTTGGACCAGGAAAGTCAGCGCAAAGAAATGCAAAAGGTAAGAAAACAGCATGAATGGGAGAAAAAGGAACCGGGCTTTCTAGCTGAGATGGGCACCTTTGGAGGTCTGAGCTTTAATGTCCCTTGCACTTTTAATAATCTACAGTGCTATTATTAATGTAGGTTCAGAGTTTCATATTACAGGGTCAGATCCTCAGCAGACATAGATCGGAATAGCTCCAGTGATTTCAAGGGAGCTACACTGATTTCCACCAGCAAAGGATCTGGCCCAGGATTTTATTTGATTTTTTAAAAAAGTTAACTACATCCCTTTAGCCTACATCCAAACAGAGCCCAAGTGCTGCTGAGCTTTCTGCAATATCCGCAGCTCAGCCCCTCACAGGGCTGAGACAATAGTATCCTCCAAGCTCCTTCAAGAATGGTTTGAAGGGAGATCTTCCAGCCTTAGTAATACTCAGTGCTCCCTATAGTGTCTCATCTGTGGCACTCAAAGCACTGAAGGGAGGCTAATTAAGCCTCATAACATCCAGCTCAGGTAGGGAAGTACTGTCCCGTTTCACAGATGGGAAAACAGAGGCAAAGAGAGGATACGTGACTTTCTAAGGGTCACACAGTTAGTATGGGGCAGAGCCAGGGATTAGAACCTCAGGCACCTGACTCTCGGGTCCCACCTCAGACTCGTAGGCTGCCCACCTTCCCTGGCTGTTGGATAATCGACAGTCTGGCATAGCCAGCAGTGAAAGAAAGGAATGATGGTCTCGTAGTCGCACTGGACTGGGACTCAAGAGATGTGGGTTCAATTAATCCCTAGCTCAGTCAGAGACTCAGTGTGACCCTGGGCAAACATCTTAGTCCCTCCGTGCCTTAGTTTCCCCATCTATAAAATGGGGATAATAATAATTCCTTTGTCTGTCTTGTCTATTTAGACTGTAAGTAGGGGCAGGGACTGTTTCTTGCTCAATGTCTGTACAGCACCTAGCACGACAGGGCCCCGATCTCAGCTGAGGGTCTCATGCCACTACCATAACACTAACAACATTACAACCCACACGGGTGGAACCTCCTGTTCAGATCC